GACCTGCTCCCTACAGCACCACCCAAGTCAAACATGCCCAGGACCTGCTCCCTACAGCACCACCCAAGTCAAACATGCCCAGGACCTGCTCCCTACAGCACCACCCAAGTCAAATATGCCCAGGACCTGCTCCCCACAGCTCACTGGCTTTTACTGCTGTGGAAAATTCATTCTTCAGTTTACGTGGATCAAAGACACTGGAAGACGGGTGAAGCCCACCTTGCTGTACAGCACGTCCAGCCAGTAATCCGCCACTTTGGCCACTGAAGCATACACCTCCTCTAGCGTGGTGCCCTTGAGGAAGGCCTCAAACACAGACGACTGGAAGATCTTGATGAGCTGCAGCTCCCCACGACGCTTCACCTCGAAACCCTTCAGCTCAGCCAGCGAGCCGTCCTCGTTGAACACGGCATACCTGTCCATGAAGAGCTACTTAACACTGGCCAATTACGCAACACAGAACCCTAGACACTGACAAAATAACCATTCAAACTTCAACAGTCAATAACAGCCCTGCCTACACAAGCATGCCAACCACCTCCAGATCTCACCTCTTCTTCAGCTTCTTGCCCTCCTCTTTGGAAGCTGGCAAGATCATGGCCAGATACGGGCCGTCCACCTCGAAGAAGATGCTGTTCTCAGCACGTGTCTCATAGGTCAGAGAAGCCGGGTCCACCAGTTCCTGGTACTGGTGGTTGGTAAAGCCGTCCTGAAGATGACGAGAAATCACCATGATAAACAAATTCTCCAACAGCCAATCATCTCAGCTGCAGGACTGGTCCCTCAACACTCCATACCTTCACCATGATGTTCAGCATGGCTCCTGGGTACGAAATGGTCACCTTGGGTTTCTTCTCATTACTGGTCTTAATGACAAAGTTCTCAGGAAAAGTGTTGGGGAGGACACACCAAATCCCATCGGTGTCCAGCTCTAAGGGCCTCCTGTGAAAATAATGAACTATAAGTACAGGCAAAAATTATTACTATTTTTACTATTTATGTACATTTGCATAATGTTCATTCCTGAAAACTGAATTCAACCAATGCCAAATCAGACGACAAAAATATTTCTAGGATCATAACTCCAGATCACGTCAAAAACCTTCATAACTCTAATCCCTCTAGAATTAAAGAAAGGCTGAATAAACAAGGGATTATTCTACTAAGGTAACAGCTGATTACTAATCTGACAAAAGCCCCGGCCTCGACCAACCAGGGGGCCCCTCACCCGATCTGCTCAATGAGCTCCCTGGCCTGCGTGATGATGTTGGCCCCAGTGTAGCAGACTATCCCGGCCATTTCCATGGAATACCAACGAGCCCTGGTTGGAGGAGAAGAGCCAGAAAAATAGAAAACTGTAGCTGTGCCCAGATACCACAAAAGGGAGGCCTGGAGCAGAAGCAGGTCTAGTGAAGCCTGAGATTAGCAGGCCACCACAGGAATTCACTTTTTTATGAACCCAGGCAGTAGTAGCACATATCACAGCTTTACACAAATAGATACAAAAACAATGTTCAACTTATATACATAGCTAATACACAGACTGCTACTGAGGACAGATAGACAGGCCTGCCTGGTCCTTTGACATCAGCTAGATATTTAATGTGATTTGGAGTCTGCCGTACCCCTTGCGCATGACATAACCATAGAAGGAGTTGAGGATGCACTTATGGGCCAGCTGCAGCGAATCGTAGAGGATCTCCATATTCTTGCAGCGCTTAACCTCCGCGGCATCGCCGCTGTCTTGCGCCGAAGCAAGCTTCTTCTTCCACACCTGGAAATAAAAGGGATGAGAGGATAAGGAAGGGGTTTCCGGCCCTCTGAGAAAGAACAGACCCTCATCAGGACGTCCTCGAGGGACAGCAGTAGGGGAAACGGGCATGCAAAGACGCTCAGACCTTGTGTAGCCCCTTGAACTCGTAGCGGCGGTCTCGGAAAGCACGCACAGTGTCTACGTAAAAGGAGTTCTCCCTCTGGCAGATGGTCGTCACACGTTCTTCCAACCTAGTTAGGTGGACCTTCTTGTAGGCCTTCCTACAATAATCTGGAGGGTCAACATAGAAGTTATGAAAGTTTTCCCCCAAGAGCACGAACACCAAGGTGGGGGGAGGCTGTCATGCTTTCCCACTTACCCGCCAGCCTCTTCTTCTCATGCTTCGCCTGCTCCTCACGGTTTAGTTCATGGAAGGCCCGTGGCTGGCCATTGGGGAAGAGCGGGGAAAACTTCTCTGACTCCAGTTGCTGCTGGATGCGGTGGAACTCGCTGCGGCTAGCTGGCACTGCAGAGAGGGAGGGGTTCGAAGACAATGCCAGTCTATCAAAATAAGTCACCTGAGCTGATGCCCAACAAAACATTACTCACAAATTCCACTTTTAAGGTTTCCCCTCAATAAACTATGGCTGAAAGAGTCACAAAAAGTATCAGCAGTAGTAACTGACTAAATCCAGGTGGTCAGATAACTGACTTTACAACCGAACTGGTGAAGTAGTTACTTATTTCGCCTCTCCACTGCCATGTCATCCGCCTCTGGCAGTTTGCTCCTGGTTTGTTGAAGTCACAGGCTGCACACGTGGCCTCGTCCACCATGGCAGAGGGCTGGGTGTGACAAACAAAACCACCACAATGTTTGGAGGCACTGAAGGGATCAAAATGGCCTTCAGCCTTGCTGGGATTAATGCATGCTGCCAATTCCTGTGTGGTATATCCTATTTCTAATGCTCGCATCACACTAGGTTAGACCAATCAGTAACTGACAGCTCACAGAAACCTCTCCGGTAGTGGCTTTCAAAGCATGTGAACCACCACAATCTGCTGCTTCAGTGCTGCCCACCTGTAGGCGGTTGGTGAGGATAATGTTAGGGTACATGGCCCCGACATCCAGATGGTAGATGAGTGGACACTCTATCCGGTTCGGTACTTCTTTCAGAGAGGTCAGCTTCTTCTTTATTTCCTCACAGACCTACAAGAAGTAGAAAAAGACACCGATCTGTTTACAAACCTACAAGCGACAGGGAAGTTCTCTTCAGCACCAGCTTACATCCAGGAGACACACAATCAGATCCTTCCCAAAACGTAGCTCCAGCAAACACATCTTCAGTTAACAGCAATGCTGGATCTATGACAACTTGGCAACCCATAATGAATGGTAAAAACTGAACATAAATGTATAAAAACTCATAACACACAGAAGATAGCAAAAATTCCCCATAAGGTTGTTTAAAAATGACTTTAGACCCAAACTGACTCAACAATGTCATCTACCAAGTGTCTTAACTGCCTATGCAAGGTTACCTTTGATTAGACTCACCTCATTAAAGTTGAGGACCTGGTTAAGGGGAATCTTCTCTTCCTCTTCAACAGCATGACGAAGAGTGCGCTCTACCCTCTGTAGCAGGTAGTCGAATGCAGCTGGATTCTGCCAAAAATGACCAGATGGCTCAGGTCAGCTAATGCGCTATATTAACTAACACTGTAATGGTACTAATATTCATTGTGTGCTATTCGGTTCCATCATTTTCGGAGCACACAATAAAATGAATAAATCCAAAACCTAAATTCACAAATAGATGTTCATCATGGAAAACATGATGCTAGTTGTGGCTACGAGTTGCTTATCGTTAGTGCTGGAGAGCTCAAAGACCAACCCAAGTCACTTATCAGTAGTTTGGGAACATTTTGATTTCCCAATAAATTACACCAACACTGGAGAGAGAAAGTAATTAAGACAAGAGGTGAAACAATATGTAAATTTAATATTACGATTACAGTGATCAAAATCATCACGGTTATCAATATCAATTGCTGAAAATGTTCAAAAAGTGCTAATACACAAACTGAAATAATTTCACCAAGTTTCATGAAAACCACAAATAAAATTAGCAGCACTCTGCATTTTTTGTTTGCACAAATATTAAAATAACATAACAGAATAAATAACCTTGCGGACACATTTGAAAACCATATCAAATGTGCATTAGCATTAAAGGTGGCACCATGTGGCCATAAGTGAGAACTGCACTTTTTGTGTTGAACAAAAGAAAAAAAGCGCCATCACAGACCACAATGGAGCTCATGATTAATGTCCAGGTTATTAATGGCTTATTGGGCATTGCTTTGAGCACACAGCCCTCATAGATTTATCAAGTATGTAATGCAGCGATATTCATTTAATCGTGTTGCATATACAGCCATGGAAAAAATTAAGAGACCACTCTATATTTTTAAAGAAATCTGCATTTTTAAATCATGGTTTAATCATGATTCTGCTGGCAGAAGCTACACTGAGCAGCAAGATGCTTTCAGGTTCAAAATTTGTAAGACAGCAGGTCATAAGTTGAAGCAGGAGACACTGGGAATGACCAGAAACGAGCCAGGTGGAGGGTGGAGGAGACATTCTAATGCCAGAGATGACCGTTAACTTATTCAACAGTTTCTCATGAATCGAAGGATGATATCAAGTGACCTTCCAAAGGAATGGGAAGCATTAAGTGCAGGTGTGAGATGCACTGCCTGGATAATTTGTTTCAGGCTTCTAGAAGCGGGACTGAGCTCCCATAAAACAACGAAGAAGCCCTTTATTAAAGAGAAACAGTGAAGAACCAGACTGCAATTTGCAGAAAAATATATATATTACTCACACCCATAAAACTGAGAAATGAGTGAAACAAAAAATTGTGCTGCGGTCTCAGTTTTTTCCAGGGCTCGTAGAACTTTACCAAATATCTCAGATTTTTGTGCGTTGCATCCAGCTGTTCTTGGATAGACTCGTCAGCCCAAAATTCCAGCAAACACTGCACCTCTCGCATAGACTAAAGTGATTCCTTTGCCACAATGTTTATTAAAAATATTTGTCACTACCCCATCTGTACAGCCAACTTGACCTGTCCTGTCTGGGTCCAGTTCCTGAAGAGTGCACATGTGTGCAGACCTCAACATGTCTGTGATATGGGCACAGGAACGGTCAGCTATCACACTAGATGCATACTGTGCTTGAGTTCAACTGAAATATGCCCGGGCCCACCTCTTCAAGCAGGCCTAACCGTGCCCGGGTATGGGCATGGAACGTAGGGATCACACTAGTGAAATGAATTGGACTTTGGCCGTCAAACGTGCTCAGACACAGTATGGAACGCTTAGTGTCACTGCAACCCAATCTTAGGTTTTGTTATTTAGGCACGTCGACAGACATATCACCTTAACTTTGGTTTACAACTGTTCCTAATTACAATTGCAGTTTTATTCATGATTTCAAAACAAATTCCATTTTCCCTACTATATCAAAATTGCACCGAACCATGAACCCAAAACAGAGGTTTGTACTAAACACTGAATTTTGGGTCCCATTACACCCATAATATTTACAACGGACACAAACATGTTGCCGTTTTTCTGGACTGTACCATTTTGAAGCGGCAGGGGATGTCACTGCGGAAGACCCCGGACTCCAATGCCTCCACGTGGCCTCCCACATAGGTCTCTGAGTCCAGCACATGCCCGTCGTCAGTCAGTTTGTTGAAGACCTGCTCTTGCTTGTTGGGGAAGACGATGTTAGCATGGAAGGCCTGCACCATGAGGAGAGCCTCACACAGGGTGCCAGACCCCTTTCGGAGCACCTGGGAGTGGAGAGAGGGGGAGAAATGGGGAGAGAGTGGGAGAGAGGGAGGGAGAGGGGGAGGGAGAGAGTGGGAGAGAGGGAGGGAGACATGCACTCACAAATTGTAGCCATTATATCCACACTTAAAACAACGAACTGAAAAACATTTCACTGAGAAAAACTAGCTAATGCTGCTGCTTTTTAAAAAAAATTGCACAAAGATCCCAGTGAAACTGCACGATTTGTAACCGGCCCTTTGTCTAACAGAAACAGCCTGCAGAAAAAAAAAAAACGCAAAGTCAGGGGACCAACCTCATCCGGCTCCATGGGAATGATGGTGCAGAGAGCGAAGATGAAGGGGTGCACATACTTCATGTACAGGTAGTAGGTGGCCACTGCATCAGACACAGAGTACGTAGCTAACGTCTGGGGGGGTGGGGGGGCAGGGTAGGTAGAAACGTCAGATCCAACCTCCAACAGCCCCAAGAGGGCCCATAGTACTCACACTCAATTGGTCAGTATTTTAAGTGATGATGATTCATCAGAAATGGGAGGGGGGGGGCCATGGAGTTCTCCCATTACGCACCTGTGGCTCCTCAGTGGCCATGCGGCACATCTCCTCGGGGTCCAGCTCCACCGGGTCATAGCCCAGTTTAGCTTTGGCCGCCGCCTTCAGGTTGTGGCTCCCCACGGGCAGGTAGCTGTCTCGCTTCACCCACCTACAAGAAGCGCAGCACCAAGGTCTGAGCCAAACAAGCTGGACATGTGTGGTACTGTGTACATGAACAGCAGGTGCACCATAAAGGGAGGAAAAGTTTCATATATATGTATAATGACACAAACAAACAAACACACAAACACACACACAATCACACAAACACACACACACACACACACACACCCTTGCGTCAACTTGCATTCGCTTTTGGAACCAGGACCTCTGACCACAAGTCAATTTAGGCGAATTTCATTACTATATGCATACTGTTAGACATGGACAGTGGGTAATTACATGGCTGGCAGCGCTGCTCTTTCTCCTGCACCTGCTACACTAAGCGATACACCTGCTAACGTCCTACTACATTTGCTTTCAGGCATCTCTCAATTATATTTACTTTAGAACTCTGACACTAATGTAATCGGACGTGACTGAATCAGGCCTAATTCGATGCAAGACTGTACATATTTCATCCTACAGCAGAATCACAGAAAGACGAAAAAAGAAACAAATGACATGCACTGACATTTTCACCAGGAAAGCGATTATCATCTTTGAAGAGGAGCTAGGTTTGCATTTCAAGCTCAACTTCAGGGCAGCGGCAATGTGGGAATCACCCCACAGAGGCCTACCTTAGGCAGTCCATGTGAATGGCCTGGTTCGCTTTGTACTCGCCCTGGCTGTCCTTCTGGAAGCCAATATCCTGGTGCATGTTCAGCCCGTGCTGAGCGGCTCTCGCCTCCACAAAGGGCCTGAAGGAGGGAGGCGGGCCCCATGATCAGACGTGTCACCACGGCAACATCAGGCCATCAAGCATGTTCTTGGGACTCCAACTCACCAGTCAAAGAAGTCCCCGTTGTACGTGACGAAGACATTGGGCTTAGTCTCGTGGATATGCTCAAACCACCTCTGAATGAGAGCGGCCTAAAACCCAAGGAGATCAAGCATGGTATCAACCAACAGTCCTAATGCTGGGTTAACTGACCAATAACCAGCAGATGTAGCATCAGATTCCTCCCCCTCACCTCATCTGGTTCGTTGAACACAGTGAAGGGCCCCTCATACTCCGGCTTGGGGGTGAACTCAAAATCCTCAATATCTTCAGACACGATCTCCCTGTTAGTGATCAGGTAACCCTAAAACACAAAAGAAATGTCCATGTATCTCCCATCGATCAGCAGTAACTCTCAGGCAAATTCCACCAAAGGACAGCGTCCCTGAACTGCCACACACCTGTCCATCGATCATATACGAGATCATCATGATTTGGTCGGTCTCGGCATCAGGAAACTTCAAAGGCAATTTGGTTGTCTCTATGTCAAAGGCAAGAACCACTGGATCCTGTTTTTTAAAAATATAAATTAAAACACAGAAAAAGTGAAATTACTATAAAACCATCCATTCACCCAATTAGCTTTCAGAAGAAAAATGTGATTTACACAAAATCCACTCACCGGCCTCTCCACAAGATCATCCCTCCTCACAATTTCAGGGGGGTACAAACTTCCCCTGTATCGTACATTGTACCAGTGAGCCTGTGGAAAAGAATGAAGTGATTTGACAGGAGCTGGTGCCCTTCCTCGACTGCTCTGATTATCGTACGGCAAAAGCCTTACTTACCACGTGAATCTTGAGGTCGATGGACAGACGGACGTGATATGGCACATCATACTCCCTCAAGTCCACAATATTGTCCATCTGGTCAGAAAGTTTCTTGGATGTGCCGTCCTCATCTACGACCGCCGCACTTCCACCGCCCAGGACGCTGCAGGAGACAGCATCATGCAATCAGGAGTGTCCGGAGCCACTTTCTCAGTAGGGGATTACTGAACAAAGTCTCTATCCCAGGAAGCAGAGTGAACAAACCTGGGGACTCTGGATAGGATGCCAGTCCATAGCAGGGCTGAGGCACAAAAATCACACACTACAGACAGCTTACAAACAACTCACCTGTATTTGGAATGCCTAAGGAAGTTAGACTACCCTTATGAAGATCCAAACAAAGATGGAGAGAACGTGCAAACTTCACACACACATAAACCTGGGGGCGGAAATCAAACTCCCAGTTGTAGATATGCGAGCCTGCAGTACAATACACCGAACCATCACACAGCCGAGGAATTAGGGATACAAATAAGCAAAGACTGTCAGATTGCTCTGTTTATTTTAGTGTTGACTGCAGAGGATTCTGGCAACCTCAGCTTATCTCAGGTCTTGCTAAACTGATGTACACACACATACATTTTATTTATTTAGGAGACGCTTTTATCCAAAGCAACATTAGGCCCTATCCCACTGCAGGAATTTTTTTCAGAAACCAGTAACTTCTCTTGCGTTCCTATCACAAGAAGTCAGCCTGACTGTAGTTCCTGAATCTTTTGTAGTCCTTATTCCGGACTAGGTACTTTTCGCTTGACGAGGAACTACTGGAATGGGGTTTACAGCGACAAACTTGCTGACTGGTTGACTGCAAAGCACAGGCTCCAAAATGGAGGTTACGCAGAAGTGCAGGGAAAAGTGACAGAAGTAGCAGAGCAAAAACGGAGCAGATGGAATTATTATTGTATTTCAATTACATGTAATGCATTAACAAATACTTTTGCTTGTGTCTCCATATTTCTGCAATGGAAAAAATCCAGTATTGTATAGGATCATCCTGTAAGGTAAAATAAAATGCTGTGTCCTGTATTTTCGAACTCCATGATCGATTCCCCCAACCTAACAATAACTAACAAACCATCTTGTTCATCCTCCATTGTTTTGTGGCAGCAGGATAAGTGTCCTCGCATATAAAATTTCATGTGAATTTTAACCTACAAGCTATTCGCATCTCCCACTATTATTTAGTATAAAGGTCACAGTTCCTGTTGTGCAGTGAGAAAGCAACACACTAAAGTGGTCAGGAACTACAAATGTGCCCAGTGGAGAAGCCCCAAGAACTTGGAACCAGAGGATTGATTTGTCAAAGTTGCATACGCACAAAAAGATGTCCCAAATTTTGCGCAAATCCTGTATTCATCAAACAAAACTTTGATGGAGGGAAAAAAATTGCATATTTATGGAAACTCAGAAGGTGGTATATGAAATACTTCGGACAAACCGGGAAAAGGCAAAATACATTTTAAAACTGGGAACTGCAAGGAAACCAGCAAAACAACTGCATGCATGGCAATAATTCATACCATCAACCCGCACCTTCATGTGAAAAACAGCAAATCTAAAATTTGAACTCGGATGAATGATTATTATAATTTTTAATTCCATGTATTATATACTACTTTTGCTTTTGATTATTTAATTTGAAATTATAAATATTGCCCCTCCTTCCATGAATTAAAAGTATCTGTAATTGCCACAAGTTGCACTAAATGTGAATTAAGTGTCTGACATTCTCATGCATGGATCCACATAAAAAAAATAACCTGTAATTAAAAAATGCAAAATAGTGCAAATGTCCTAGAAAAAAAAAAACTTTTAAACATTTTCTTGTTTGTGAAAAATGTGCATAGGCTTCCAAAAATAACATTTTGTTGTGTACCTACCCTGCACAGTTCAAAATTCCCATTTGGGTTTTTTAAATTTTATTTATTTACTATTAACCACTGTTGTCTGGCTTTACTACCAGAAAGGCTTGATTTATATAGTATATATGACCTTGATTTATATAGTATATATGGTTGTGATTTATATAGTATATATAGCATTGCATTGACCACTTATGGGTATTTGTGGGTGGCACTTGGGCAGAATCTCAGGCTCTCGCACATACACACATTTCAAGAGGGAAAGTGAGGGAAATTTATAAATTATACAAACGTGCCACTACTTCCCCATTCCTCTCTCAGGCAGTTACCTTGACAGCATGCTGGTGTAGGCATCATTAGACTTCTCCCTCTCCCGATTCTTGCGCACTGCTGGTAAGATCTCACGCTTGACCTTGACAAGGTCATCCACAGTGTTGAAGGACAGCTTGATATAGTTTCTCCTCAGACCCACCAGATGGTTTGGCTACGTGGGAAAACAACACACCCACTTAAGATCAAAGTTTACAGCTCTGGGCCAGCATGATCACTGAATAAAAACCATCATATTCATGTCAAATCCTGCTGTGCACATCCAGTCCACCACTCACCAGGTCCAGATCTTCTTTAGGAAGTATCTCCAGTTTTACCGCTTTTCCCTGAAACTTCTTAGACAGGAAGGAGATGACTTCTCGCTCACAATTCTGGGGTAAAGAAAGGAACTTTTACCTACAATCTGGCCTCACTGCCAAAGAAATTAAACTTCCTCTCAAATCTTATTATGAATCTAGTGCTTTAAATGGGATGTAACTAATGAATCAGATTTGCTTTACCTGTTTGGTAGCTATGTAAAAATAAGGCCTGAATGGAAGAGCCACCTACAACACAGAGAAGAGAGCACATGTGTGAAAAGCACCAAGCACAGACTGACAGGAGACACCACTAAAGTGACCTAACTGAATCACTATGATCACCAATCGATCAGCTCACCTTGAACCTGCTACCATCCTCCTGGATGAAGTAATAGTCCACAGCACTGACCAGCCGCTTATCGTCATCTAAGATTTCAGTCTGCAAGAATTTGAAAACATCAGTAAATGTCACTGAGATTAGGTCAGCTGACCAAAACACAGGGGGCTGAGAGGGGTGTCTTAAAAGGAGCCTACTGACACTTACATCCATAATAAAAGGCCATGACAGCCACCAAGTAGAATCTGCTTTTATTTCATGCAGACCTGAGCTCTCCACCACTGATTGTAAAATTAATCAAATAAAATTACAACATGATGGACTAGTATATCTTACAAAGCCATACGGCTGTGTTGACGCAATTCTGTTAAAATGTCGTGAAGTAAAGCAGAAAAACAATAAAAGATTAATTGATCTTACACAGGCCCCAATGACACATACCGGATGCATATTGATGAGCCAGCCAGTCTTCTCTCCCGGCTCCTTCATTCTCTCAAAGCCGAAGCGGTCGTCCATCACATCGGTGAAGCGGCTTCGCTCCAGCCGCTTGGCGGCTGACAAGGACGACGCATCGTCCCTAGGGGAAGCCAAAGCGACAACCCGAGCATCAGCGTGAAGGCTGCCTCCAGTACGGTGTGGCGATAGGAGTTTACAATCTCTATGAGTTAAGTAAAACTGATGCCTTAATGAAGAACTAGAAAACATTAAATCATAATCCAGAGACAGTGTTAGTTGTTGCTGTCTTGGTTTTAGCCACGTACAAGTAGCGCCTGTTTATGCAAACAACTTACTGCTGTTCAGGGTCTCCTGCTTGTCCACGATCTGGTTTGTATCTTCCGCTGTTTTGCAGAACCATTTTCGATAGATTGAAGATCCGAAAGGTTTATCTTAATGCTTTTAAAATTAAAAATATACTCTGTTCAGCTCATACAGCTGACTGTCCCACGGGAGGTCCACTCTAGTTCTGGAAAATTAACATGCTTAAAAATAAACATGCAAGTCAACTCATACATTAAAGTATACACCATTAACAGTATCTATCTCTTTTTACCATGCTGACACTGCACTCGTAAAATTCTGCCATGTGCCGTCAGTTTTTATGTGACTTTTAGCCGGTCACTAAAGAAAAACGCGCTGTTTTGTGTCACCTCACTTTCAGATAGAAATTGGCGCGCTCCATGTAATTCCGCGAGATCACAGCCGGAAGTCCGGAACGCGCCCCATCCCCGAAAAGGAAAGCCACGCCTTCTGGGGCGTTCCTAAACATTTTGACCAATGGCGATGGAGCGCCAGGATCGTCTCGCCCTCATGGTCGCCTCCGACGATTCTCCTGCCTGTGGATTCGGCAATATGATGCGCAACTGTTGGTTTAACTTCTAATCAATTAAAATTAGGAAATTAGACATTAATTAGAAATCTGTTCTTTCTTTTCTTACATTTCAGTGAAACACGTTAAGATATTTTATTTCATATGTACTTGTGTTTCTAGTTAACAGTTTAAACATAGATAATTTAAAAAAAATTGTATCCTTAAAAATAATCGGCTCATACAATGAATACGGTAAACAGAAATCACAGAGGCGTGTTTTGTGTGTAGTTTTTTTTTACCTTGGGGATAGTTGGACTGTCTCGTTCGATAGTTGGCCGTGATAAACATAGCTGTATTTTTTTTTTATTTTTACAGTAGAGTTTCAAAATTGTCTAAATCTGAAAATGCCTGTAATAAGTGTTGCCGTTCGAGACTCAGCTTTTCACATGCGACTGCTGCAGCAGTACTTGCTTTTGTTAAAGAAATACCCGATTCTTACAAAATCTGTTACTAGGTTGGTGAGTGCTGCAGTCCCAGCTGCAAAAGTTGTTCTTTTCCGTAGGCAGTTGCTCAGTTCAAACGGATTTCATGTATGATTCAGTAAAGGTCATAACGATGTTAGCCTGTCAGGTACTAATCTAGGTTAAATCTTTTCCAGATCTATAGGTGCTAGATTCAGGAAAAGCCCAATTTATCTGTGAGATCTATATATGTGTTTTTGCGGTCTAACTTAAGTGTACATTTTTGCGGGTCTGTAATCTTAGTAATAGCTCAGTAAAAAACTAACAATAATAGTACTTAGATTTAAAGTGAATTAACTGATGGTACTCATTTGCGATATTGGTTATTATTACAAAAAAACTACATACGATTTTAACAGTCATTACTATTCGTGAGCTTAATAGATTAAAGTGGGTGTTGAACCTGTGCGCATTACTGTGTTTTTAGTCTGCTCTTTTTACTACTGACTTTTGCACCCTGTTCAACCTTGCAGTTATATATTTTCCTTGAACCTAGTACACTTAAAACTAACATGGTGACCTCAGCAGTCTACGCTGATAATCTAACAAACGGCCGTTCATGGTGTATGGCTAACAACATGAGAGATTTTGTTCATTCACAGTTCAGTTCTTTCTGCTTTGGGGAATCTGCTTTCTCAAGTTCTGGAAAACAGAAGAAAGTTTAAAAACGGCCGGCCTGAAAAAGACATTGATGTTCCTGGAATTGCTCGTTTTGCTATCTATGGGTTTGTGAATCAAGTCATTATTAAACTTGATTTTTTTTTCCCAATTAAAGACCTGTATTTCATTCTATTCTATTATTATAGTGTCTATTTCTCTGTGTATTTGTATCTTTTAATGTTCCACTTTGATTTCAGACTGTGTATCACGGGCCCCATAAGCCATTATTTCTACCACCTGTTGGAGTTGTTGGTGCCATCTACTGTTCCTTACTGCATGCCGAAACGTTTGTTACTGGATCGCTTGGTTTTCGCACCGGCCTTTCTCCTGCTCTTTTTCATTGTCATGAACATCTTGGAGGTCAGTTCCGGGCACTTCTGTAATCTTCTTGCTGAATTAACTACACCAAGTCCAAAGCAAGCAAATATCATCTGTTTTCTGGCCTTTTCCCTGGGGCAGCCGGTAACTAATCCTGTATGTAGACATGACGGATAAGTTTGTTCACCTGTAACTCAAATGCTGCTGGTTTAACTACAAGGGGGGCTTTCTTGCTATAGCCTTAAAGTTCCTGATTCACTATGGTAAATCTCCCATTGCTATTAAATGGTTGTGGTTTTATGTTGCTTCGAAATAAAATGTCAGACCTAACAACATAATACAAGGTCATGACGGTCTGCTTTTGAAATCGATTGACTTTCAGAGAAAGAGATGGCCTGCACTCCAAGATAAACTGAGAGCAAGTTACTGGCCAGCTCTGAAGATGAACTGGAAAGTGTGGACCCCATTCCAGTTTGTTAATATCAACTTTGTTCCCATTCAGGTGTGGCAAGATGAGACATTACCGCCATAATCAATACTGGACTTCAATCCTTGTTTGTGCTCTGCATACTCATTATTGTTTTTTGTTCCCAGTTTCGTGTGCTGTTTGCCAACCTGGTAGCCTTGTTTTGGTATGCCTACCTGGCCTCTGTGAGGAAGTGAAATCACGGGGAAAAAAACTTCCTTTGTGATGGCCCCTGGGGAATTTTGAAAACTGCTGCATTCCAAGGGGAAAATGTGACTGGATATGACAGATAGGAAATGAGGGTAACTGGCAAAATTTTAGGAAATTATAAACCATTAACATACTTGTTTTAAGGTGCATGACACGATGGCTGAATGTCCATGTAAATTAGATGTTGAGTCTGGCAGTAATAACACGTTATGACTGCTGATGATCCACACCAGCTGAATGAAATGTGTTGATGTGAATAGGTAAAAGCTTCCAGATCAGATTATGTAACTTTACAAACCAGTGTAATATGTGCATTTTTATTTCCAGCTTCACTTAATGTAAACTTAGGAAATGAAGCATTTGTTCTTAATGTGATGTTAACCTGTTAATAGTCAAATTTAAGGGTATGACCCTTAAAGCTCAAATAACACTTGGCACCTAAACCAATAGTCAGTATGTATTTTCTTATTTCCCCATTGTCTAATTGTTTTACACTGTAATTATTGAATAAAATTACTGCAAAAAATATTTGAAATGTTTTCAATGTATGATATGCATCTGTATGGACATGGAGCAGATTCTCGAGACAAAGGGATCGGAAGGTTGAAGGGGAATTTTGTTACAGTTTACTAATATAACTGCATATAGATAGGATGACAAGCTGGTACAATATGGGAGTCAGCTCTGCAAGTCTGTACGCAAGGATGAAATGTGTGGTCTGGTTACTTTTTGCCCTCCTCCAGTACCTAATCCAGACTGGAAACAATCCCTGCTAGTCTTAGGTGATTCTGGGCTTTTCGCCCAGGGGTGCAAGATAGGACAGCCCAACCAGCCATTTATGCAGATAAATTTGATAAATTTATTTTTAAAAAGCATGTAAACTATACTATAATTAGAATTTTATGTAATTTCATATATTTAATATATAATTTTACAATTTAATTTGATTGAAGTTAATATGTTCAAATACCATTTTAGTCTGACCAGTAGGGGGTGCTTTGCACCTCTGGTAAAATCACCTATGTTGCCACTGAACCTAGGAGATTCGCTGGACCACCTGGAGGCCAAAGGACTGCAGAACCAGAGTCCACTGAATGTAGTAATTGTTGTCCTAAATGCAGTGAAGCTAATTAGGTTCAAAGTGGGGGAAAAGTAATAGTAGCCAATGGGTTATAAAAATACAGTAGTACCTTGTAGTTGATATGAGACCTAACTGGAAGCCAGGACTGATATGCCTATGTTTCCTAGTCCCTATTAGGACTGCATGAAATGGAGTTTATTTAATGACACACATAGTACACTAAATTGCAGGTCATTGACTGACTGGGCCTGCAGTAATCCATGCTATAGGTTATAAAGGTGTATAATAGCATTCCATAGCTGAAATGAGAGTATTGTTCTAAGTTTTGCTGTATTCCTCAGATCGAAGAAAGCTGCTTCAATTAACCACATTAATTATGTGAGCATCTAGAAACAAGGCTGAGTAAATAGTGACACCAAGGCTTTTGGTGAACAACATGGTGGGTTGTCTTAGGGTCCAGCAGTAATACTTCTATTTTGTCAGGATATAACAGAAGTAAGTTACTGACCATACAGCTCCTAACTTCAGCCAAGCATTCCTTAGTCTTTGACAGCTGAGGTAGCTCCTTAGTTTTAACAGATATGTATGGCTGAGTGTCGTCTGCATAACAGTTAAACTCACACTATGTTTCCTAATAATATCACCAAAGGGCGACATGCATAAAGTGAACAGTAGTTGGCCCAGGACCTTGTGGACACCATACCTAACTGGTGGAATCAGAGGATTCATTGTTCACATGAACAAACTGGTGACGGTCAGTTAGATATAAGCAGAACCAGGACAGGGCCTGCCTTTTAACACCAACAGAAGATTATAGCCTTGCCAACAAAATGTCATGGCCAACAGTATGGAATGCAAAGTGTGCTTAGATTCAACAGAATCAACGGGGATACACAACCATCATCAGCAACCATAAGTCATTCATGACTCTCACTAGTGCAGTTTCAGTGCTCTGGTTTAGTCTAAACCCTGACTGGAACATTTCATTAATGTTGTTCTTTTGCAAGAACAGAGAGAGCTGACTAGCAACTACTTTTTCTAAGATTTTGGAAATAATTGGAAGTGTGGAAACAGGTCTGTAATTAACCAAATTAGTGGGATCCAGGTTTGGTTTCTTAAGGACAAGTCCGACAACAGCATCTTAACATTTACTCTTAGCATCACTATCAAATTTGATGTGATGTCAGTTGCTCTGACCCCTGGAAGACGATTCACTGTGGTTGGAATCTCTATCCTCACATTCTTACAATGGAATCATCCATTATCAAAGTTTTTTCAACAGGTCTCTCAGTGGGTGTTTCACGGAACAGGGATATCACTTCTGCAGATTCCGTTAAAGTATCTGCCATTGTGTTTAAATGTGTGATACCTAAATATTTTATTGTTTTCTGGGAATTCAATTTGCAATACAAAAGGAAAAGTTAAGTTTTATTCATTTTTTCCAAATGTAAAACATAACCAGTATGGTTCTGGTATATCATAAAGAAAAAAATAAATAAACAAATGTAAAACAGTATTAAACAGGCTAGTAATAGGCCTAATAACATTGTAATGTTCAGCAGTTTGCTGACATCCAAATATTTTCACAGAGCATAAATAAAATTTTTCATTGTCTGAAATACACTGAAAAGAAATGATTTAATTTATTTTGCCCAAACTACTTTATATTGATTTCTTTGTTAAATAAAACCTGTTAACAAATGCCTTGAGTAAACAGTTAACTCACCCAGAATGATTAAATGTTATTTAGAGGGCAGACGCAGAATGAGAAAGATGGTGCTCTCATTCTTAACACCATAGTCCTCCAGTTTCTTGCCGTCTTCCATCTGCCTTCCCTCGTAGATCAGCCTTTGTTGGTCAACAGCGACATGCTCCTTATTGAAGACTTTCCTCTTGAACTCCGACACCGTCTCACCTGGAGTGATTTCATAAGTATGTATCGTACCATTTACTGTCTTCAGGAACACCTGTATGGGACCAGGCTCGGTTACCAGCACGATAAAGCACAACAACACTTAAGAAAACTTGTTCCTATCTAAAAACTACAATACACAACACAACCCAGTCCATAAAGAACTCACGTTTTTTTTTTTTTTACTTTGTTTATCGTTGTTTTCTGAGTTCATAACATCTTTTCAAAACGGCGGTTGTCTTGTGTTTAGAGCCAGGCTATTTACACAACCAAACGACAGGCACGTCAGTCCTCAGCTTGTTCGGGACCCAAAACCCACAGTGGCGAAATACAAATTGAATGCACCAATGCAAATGCTAAAAGCTATCCTATAGGACACGAGCTAAAGAGAGATTCCTTGACTGGGTGTGCTTTGCAGGTGGGGATGTAACGAGAATCTCTATATCCCGGCCGGGCATAGCCCAAAAGACCCACGCGGGACTGTCCCCAGGTGGGCCCACCACCCGCAAGGGGAATGTCAGGGGTTCAGTGCATCGTGGATAAGGTGGCGGCCAAGGGAGGCCCTACCAGTCTGATCACCGGCTCACAAAACTGGCTTTCGGGACATGGAATGTCACCTCTCTGGTGGAGAAGGAGCCTGAGCTTCTGAGTGAGGTTGAGAGATATCGAGTAGATATAATCGGGCTCACCTCAACGTGGGTTCTGGAATCTCCTGCAGAGGGGCTGGACACTCTTTTCTTCTGCAGTTGCGGCAGGTGAGTGACGCCGGGCTGGGGTGGGGCTACTGGTGGCCCCACAGCTTGGTGCATTAACAACGGAGTTTACCCCGGTGAATGAGAGGGCTGTCTCCCTGTGCCTTCGGGTCAGGGACAGGTCTCAGACTGTCATCTGCGCTAATGTGCCGAATGACGGTTCAGAGTACCCGGCCTTCTTGGATTCCCTTAGTGGTATGCTGGTTAGCGTGCCACAAGGGGATTCCATCGTTTTGCTGGGGGACTTCAATGCTCACGTGGGCAATGACAGTGTGACCTGGAGGGGGGTGATTGGGAGGAACGGCCTCCCTGATCTGAACCCGAGTGGTGCTCTGTTATTGGACTTCTGTGCAATGCATGGTTTGTCCATAACGAACACCATGTTCGAGCATAAGGTTGTCCATTAGTGGACATGGTACGAACATGCCTGGGGCTACAGGTCGATGATCGATTTCATAATCATATCATCTGATCTGCGGCCTTCTGTCTTGGACACTCGGGTAAAGAGAGGGGCAGAGCTGTCAACTGATCACCACCTGGTGGTGAGTTGGCTCAGGTGGCGGGGGAGGAAGCCGGTCAGACCTGGTAGGCCCAAGCGTATAGTGAGGGTCTGCTGGGAACGTCTGGCAGAGGCTCTTGTTCGCCGGAGCTTTAACTCGCATTCCAACTGCATACCGGGGGAGGTTGGGGACATTGAGTCTGAATGGACACTGTTCCGGACCTCCATTGTGGAAGCGGCCGTACGAAGCTGTGGCTGCAGGGTGGTCAGTGCCAGTCGTGGCAGTAACTCTCGTACTCGATGGTGGGCACCAGAGGGGCTGTCAAGCTGAAGAAGGAGGCCTACCGGGAATTATTAGCTCGGGGGTCTCCGGAGGCAGCTGATGGGTACCAGCAGGCCAGGTGGAACGTGGCTCGGGCGGTCGCAGAAGCAAAAACCCAGGCGTGAGAGGAGTTCGGTGAGGCCATGGAAAGTGATTATCCGGTCAGCCTCAAAAAGGTTCTGGCAAATCATCCGGAATATCAGGAGGGGGAAGCAGCTCCTGGTTCCTACTATTTATAGTGGGGAGGGGGTGCTGTTGACCTCACCTGGGGACATCATCCGGAAGTGGAAGGAATACTTTGAGGACCTCCTCAACCCTGCCTCAGATACATCTACGCACACTGCCTTTGAGACATCTGAGGGCACAGAGCCCGAGGGTGCTGGGGGGGGCTTGCACATCACTGGGGCTGAGGTGGCCAGGGTGGTTAAAGAGCTTCGTGGTGGCCAGGCCCCGCGGGTGGACGAGTACCTAAAGGCTCTGGATGTTGTGGGGCTGTCGTGACTGACACGCCTTCTCAACAGCATGTGGAGGTCAGGGATAGTGTGCCACTGGATTGGCAGACCGGGGTGGTGGTCCCCTTATTTAAGAAAGGGGACCAGAGGGTGTGTTCCAACTACAGGGGATCACACTTCTCAGCCTTCCTGGGAAAGTCTATTCCGGGGTACTGGAGAGGAGGGTGAGATCAATAGTCGAATCTTGGATTCAGGAGGAACAATGCGGTTTTCGTAATGGCCGTCGAACACTGGACCAGCTTTATACCCTTGCAAGAGTACTGGAGGGGGCCTGGGAGTTTGCCTATCCAGTCTACATGTGTTTTGTGGATTTGGAAAAGGCTTACAACTGGGTTCCCTGAGGTGCTCTGTGGGGGGTGCTTCGGAAGTATGGGGTCCGGGGTCCACTGTTGTGGGCGATTCGGTCCCTGTATGAACGGAGCAGAAGCTTGGTCTGCATTGCCGGTAATAAGTTGGACGTGTTCCCCGTGCGGGTTGGGCTCCGCCAGGGCTGCCCTTTGTCATCGGTTCTGTTTATAATATTTATGGACAGGATTTATAGGCGCAGCCAGGGTGTTGAGGGTGTCCAGCTTGGTGGCCTCAGGATTGCCTCGCTGCTTTTTGTGAACGATGTCTTCCTGTTGGCTTCATCTGCTGGGGATCTCCAGTGTGCTCTGGGGCTTTTTGCAGCCAAGTGCGAAGCGGCGGGGATGAGGATTAGCACCTCCAAGTCCGAGACCATGGTTCTCAGCCGGAAACAGGTGGATTGCCCTCTTCAGGTCAGGGAAGAGGTACTGCCTCAAGTGGAGGAGTTCAAGTATCTCGGGGTTCTGTTCAGGAGTAAGGGTATGCGAGATCGGGAGCTGGACAGACAAATCGGAGCGGAGTCTACAGTTTTGCAGGCGCTTAACCGGTTCATCGTGACTAAGAAAGAACTGAGCCGGAAAGCAAAGTTCTCGATCTATTGGTCCATCTTTGTCCCTACCCTCACCTATGGTCATGAGTTATGGGTAATGACCGAAAGAATGAGATCGCGAATACAGGCGTTCGAAATGAGGTTTCTCCGAGGGTGTCTGGGCTCTCTCTTAGGGATAGGGTGAGAAGTTCGGATATCTGGGAGCGTCTCAGAGTAGAACCGCTGCTTCTCCACGTTGAAAGGAGCCAGATGAGGTGGTTTGGACATCTGGTGCGGATACCTCCTGGGCAGCTACCTGGAGAGGTTTTCCGTGCATGTCCTACAGGGAGGAGGCCCCGGGGCAGACCTAGGACATGCTGGAGGGATTATACCTCTCGGTTGGCCTGGGAACGCCTCGGCATCCTCCCCAAGGAGCTGGTAGAGGTAGCTGGGGAGAGGGAGGTCTGGGTATCTCTCCTGAAGCAGCTACCCCCCGCAACCCGAACCCCGGACAAGCAGTAGTTAATGGATGGATGGATGGATGGATGGATATCAGAAATAAATTACTACCTATTTCTCTGTTAGGGTGTCACAGACTTCCACTATTACATCATGCACCTGATATCCATTGCTATCCAGACCTTCACCATGATGTCAGTGACTTCCACTTAGACTGCTGCCCCTATTCTTTCACCCACTGTGACTTCCACGATGACATAACTGATATCTAGTCTCACAGTCTCAAAACTGGCATTACATTGAAGGAATCCTTGTAGCTCCCTCAGACCTACTTCCACATCGAGAGCTTCAGTTTTCATAGCTTTATTATCTGTGATCTTTATTTTGACATTCCCTCTGTCTGCGACCTCCACCTGATGCAACTTCATGCAGCTCTCAAGATCCACTTTTGTTCCACATAAGCTATATTTTGATCGGTCTTACTGGCTTTAATAAACATTATTAGCCATTTAAAATTACCATTTAATAAATACCCTTCATATTTGCACATTAAAAATTCATTGAGTAACTTTTAAACATTTTCTGGCGACCCCACGTGGGGTCGTGACCCTAAGGTTGGGGAAGGAACCTGTTTCTGAGGATTCTCCTCCAGCATCCCATTCAGTCACGTCACCCCATTTATCCCAGGCTGCCCAAAACTCCACGTTCGAGTATGTTTCCCCAGTCTGGTCATTGACATTGGGCTTCTTGTTGATCTGGCATATTACTGGTTAAAATGCACAATCAATCTATCTGTACACGGAAAATTGTTTATCTTTGTGTATGTCAGAGTGTTTGTATCTGTGGATATGAGTGTATGGTTTGTTTATATGTGCATGTCATTCTGTCTGTGAGTATTGAGGGATTTCTCTATTTAATTTGTAGTTATTTAATTATTTTCATTTAGTTAACTCATTTATAGCTTTTACATTTCTTATTTTTATGTTTCTTTAACTTGCTCATCATGTTCTTTGCCTCTCATACAACTTACTCTCACCAAGTCCATCTGACCCCCCGGCTCCAGGAGTCTGTATGAAGACTATAGATAAAGGGCCTGTTTCCCTCAGTGGGGGCAGAGACAGATATATTGAAGGATTGTTCTAGTTATTCATTGTACAGTACAAGAGGAAAATATAAATTTTATTCATTTTTCTTCAGGAAAAGAAACATGACCACCATTGTAGGCCTAAGAAAGTAAACTTTATTTATAAGGCACACAACAAACATTACCAGCATGGGGGTGGTGCATTATAAAGAACAACAACAAACAATGTAAGCAAGTATTAAATACCCTATTCTAATATTAATGCAGGATTACTGATCTGTTTGCTTATATCCAAAGCTGGTAAATTTGAGAATAAATGTAGAACAGTATTAAACAGGCTAGAAATAGGCCTAATAACATTGTAATGCTCAGCAGTTTGCTAACATCCAAAGATTTTCACAGAGCATAAATAAAATTTTCCGTTGTCTGAAATGGACCGAAAAGACATAATTTAATCTCTTTTGCCCAAACAACTTTACTTTACTGTTAACAAATGCCATGAGTCAACTGTTATCTCCACCAGACTGAATTACATTTTTACATTACTTAAGTTTTAAATATTAAATAATAACTATGAACTGTTAAATTTGTTGACAAAATTATGCCTATTTCTACCAGACTGATTAAATGTTATTAAAACTGCAGCATTTTAGATTAATGCCTTAGCAAAATCATTCCTTCCTCCTTGTTAGCCTCCTCTCAGACGCAGAGTGAGATCGATGGTGCTCTCATTCTTAACACCATAGTCCTCCAGTTTCTTGCCGTCTTCCATCTGCCTTCCTTTGTAGATCAGCCTTTGTTGGTCAACAGGGACACGCTCCTTATTGAAGACTTTCCTCTTGAACTCCGACACTGTCTCACCTGGAGTGATTTCATAAGTATGTGTCTTGCCCTTTTCTGTCTTCAGGAACACCTGTATGGGACCAGGCTCGGTTACCTGTATGGGACCAGGCTCGGTTACCAGCACGATAACTGTAGACCCCGAGCTCACCCCATACTCCGCCAGTGTTCTGGACTCATCAGTCAGGTCTCTTCTCTGGCCATTCTGCACAGATAGGCGCTGTCTGGCGCTAGGTGTGCCTTGTTTGATTTGGATCAGGTTCTTCAGTGTCTTGATGGTTGCATTCAGTTCCACTGACAAACTGAACGTTTGCCCATTCATGAATTTGATGAACAGCTCCATAGTGGCAAACCTCGGAAATCTGTGAAGGTTGTTAAAAAAATACAACACTATATCAACAACTGAACACAAAACTGTCACGACTTCCAGGGCACAGCCCGGGGAAACAGGCGAAGACAACGAAGGATCGGGGAANGACACCGTCTCACCTGGAGTGATTTCATAAGTATGTGTCACGCCCTTTTCTGTCTTCAGGAACACCTGTATGGGACCAGGCTCGGTTACCAGCACAATAACTGTAGACCCCGAGCGCACCCCATACTCCGCCAGTGTTCTGGACTCATCAGTCATCGGTCTCTGGCCATTCTGCACAGATAGGCGCTGTCTGGCGCTAGGTGTGCCGTGTTTGATTTGGATCAGGTTCTTCAGTTTCTCGACGGTTGCATTCAGTTCCACTGACAAACTAAACGTTGTCCCATTCATGAATGTGATGAACACATCCATAGTGTCAAACTTCGGAAATCTGTGGTCGTTAAAAGAACAATACGATATCAATAACTGAACACAAAACTTTAAAATATTACGCTGTAACGCCCGTCTCCTAATATTAATTTCAACGCAGCACCGAGAGGAGTTCAGTAGATAATACACAATGAAAGTCATGGAAACGCCTCAGTTATCGCAAATATACAGTAAATTAATTGCCACATACGTCAAATTAACGAACTTGTCACTCACCTTGTCCGTAACGGGGTAGTTGATTGTTCAAGGATAATATCTTATTACAGTCAAGTATGTGTATAATCCTTTTCAAAAATAGATATTCTCTTGGCGTTGCTGAATCGCGCTGAATGAAGTCCGTAGGTAGCCTATAGCTACTGTCCTTATAAATAGCTGATACAGTAGATCCACCCCCTGACACTCAAAACATGCAGTTTAGTTTCGTTTTTCGTACCTCACTTTTTTGTTTTCGATTTCGAGATTTTGACTCATCCTTAGACTTTTTCGTTTGTTTGTTTGTTTGTTTATTTCATTATATGTTGATTCTTTTACTTTTACGCGCTTCATTTCCTACACTGAAAGAAATTCGTTTGTGTGCACCTCGTTTCAGTATTTGGAGGAATCGTACGCTCTGCAGAAATTAAATTAATGTATTCATGTTCAAGGCGGGACATGGCTATGTTATATACCTATATTGTACTTAATAGTATTCACGAATCGTTTAAGCACCATATGCTCCAATGATTGTACGAGTGAAAAGGACTTATACGAAAGAAATCAAGCCAACATCAAACGCAAAGCGTCACTTGGGTGTTACTGTCAAACAAGACGTCGTAGCATGACGTAGCATTGCCGTGTGGAAAGTGAAACTCAAGCTTCATTGTTTTAAAAATGCTTTATGTTTATACAACCTAGCTGTCGCCATAATTATATTGCATTGTTTACTCTCATTCTTAAAAATCAGACACGTTTCAGAACAAACTAATTATAGACTTCCTTGTCTTAATTACAACAGATACATAATGTAATATAATTAAAGAAAATAGACGACAATGGAGAGAAGAAAAAAGTATACATGAGAACCACTAATGATCGCTGTTTGATGAACACTGTTTTGTAAAGCACTCAGGAACATATAAGGACAACACAACGTCAATGACTGGAATGAGGAAACATACTTGAATGTGGACTTAAATGCACGCAGCACAGGACTAATGAACACAACACAAAACAGCTGATGACACGGGGATTCCACACACAGGTATCGAAGGGGGCGTGGCACATGGGAGGATCGGACGAGCGGGGTATGACATCATGGGCTTTAAGAGTTTATTAAAGGGCTTGACAAGACAGTTGGTTACCAGGTGGTAGTTTCCAGTCCAAATCACTTTCTTGGTCATAATTCGTACAGCTGCTGCAGTCAATATCACATGAAAGATGTTATTTTTTCTTGGCAGAATCTCTTTAGAGATTTTGACAAATAGAGGAGTACTGTCAAGGTCTTAGCCAAAATGTTACTTAGTGGCGCTGCTCCTCACATTATGAGTATAATTATTCAATCAATTTTATTGTTAATGACTACATTGAGATCCTGACCATGATAAACATTTGCAAGATGGAATTAATAATATGTATCATTAAAAATCTGCTAATTATCTATTTAGGCCAAGGTGATAATTCTATGTATTAAATGTGTGTTGTATTAAATTTTACTAATTACTTAAATTCCATTTAAGTATTTATGCCTTAAGTTATCGATTTTTACTGTATTTCCATTCCATGTTGGCTTGTACGCAAGGCCTGTTTCACTGAAGGCTGTTTTCCCTTTCACTAGCAGACAAAGTATAAAAGCTGTGAGATTAAATAATAATTTTTTTGTAGGTCTCACATTTCAAAGTTCACCCATAGGATTCATGTTTAGCCCATGTAACCATTTCACAGGCATGAAATGCAAATCTCACAGGCTGTCAGGAGCCCAAACCAAAGACAGAATGGTGACATACCACAGGGTGGGCGTAAAAGGAAAATTCATTTGGTCGGTAAGTTTCACTGCTGCCACCTTTTTTTGATGGCTCACTGTAGAGGTATACAAGGTTTTTATTGCCGATCTCACTATTATCAATGCAGCTAGGTTGGCATATATGAGTTTAGGGCAGCCTGGGATAAATGGGATGAGGTGACCGAATGGGATGCTGGAGGACAATCCTCACAAACAGGTTCCTTTCCCAATCTTAGGGTCACAACCCGACGTGGGGTCGCCAGAAAATGTTTAAAAGTTACTCAATTAATTTTTAATGTGCAAATATGAAGGGTATTTATTAAATGGTAATTTTAAATGGCTAATATTGTTTAATAAAGCCAGTAAGATCAATTACAATATATAGTATATGTGGAACAAAAGTGGATCTTGAGAGCTGCATGAAGTTGCATCAGGTGGAGGTCGCAGACAGAGGGAATGTCAAAATAAAGATCACAGATAATAACGCTATGAAAACTGAAGCTCTTGATCTGGAAGTAGGTCTGAGGGAGCTACAAGGATTCCTTCAATGTGATGCCAGTTTTGAGACTGTGAGACTAGATATCAGTTATGTCATCGTGGAAGTCAGAATGGGTAAAAGAACAGGGGCAGCAGTCTATGTGGAAGTCACTGACATCATGGTGAATGTCTGGATAGCAATGGATATCAGGTGCATGATGTAATAGTGGAAGTCTGTGACACCCTAACAGAGAAGGAAGTAGTAATTTATTTCTGATATTTATTTAGTATTTACTCCTATATACCACTTATGTGCTCTGCTGCTGTTTACATTTACATTGTGTGTTAATGTGTGTGGGTTTTTGTTGTATTTTTTGCAGTTTTCCTGTCTATCACTAAACTTCTGTAGCACTGTGATTCAGGGAACGTATTTCCCGTCACCGTAAGCTTCATGCACCGGCGATAGGCTACTATAGGCAATGCAGCCACACTGGGGCTCACAGAAATGGAGGGCGCCACGGATGGCAGATAGGCCATTTCACAGGGAGGATCAGGTGGATATTGATCTATCACTTGAAATGACCGAAGTACGTTACATTGCATTATGAACCGCG